TCCCCTCCCCCCCCCGCCGCTGTGAAAGCCAAGACTTGCATCCTCTTTCTTAGCCCCAGCAGTCACGGGCTTTAAGAAACACCCAAGGATTGTGAGGTTTCCAGGACAATCGCTTCAGCTGGCACCGCCGCTTCCGCGGCGGACTGCGAACAGACTGTAACGGGAAGGCAGTCGCCGCGACGGTCTGTGCCGGCGTACTCGTTACGCCGGCCGCTTGGCACTACGTGTTCCTACCGTCGCTTCTGCTGGGATTCACGGCCCCAGCGCAGAACCGGAGCCGCCTTTGGGGTTGGGGAAAAGACTACTTTTCCCCAACTAGTGGTGGTGGTGGGGGGTGGATCTGGGAGACGATTCCCTCCCGTTCCCTTTGACAGGGCTCGGAAAGGAGGACGCAGGATGTAACTACCAAAGCCAGCCGCAGAAAGGGCCCTGTCTAGCCAGAGCGTGCTAATGCTCACCAGCCGTGCCCTCTGTCTGGGGTCTTACTCACCTGAAACCCTGCAGCCAGGGGCCTCGGTTCAGCGCGGACTTCTGGCGCGGAGTCCCGTCGTCACTCACTCAGCCGTGCCATCGCAAGGTTTTGAGGGGCTGCATCGCCAAACGGAGCGAGGAGCAGGTCTAACCTAACCTGGCTCACGGCACAACTCCACAAACAGCTGTGCTGGCAGAGATGAGGGCACGGCAGGGGGTGGAGTAGTGCTTATGCCAGTAGTTACCACCAAAAAAAGCCTTCCTTGGGCTGTAAGTTGAAGTGGCCTTCATCTTTTTACCCAGTAACTCTTAAAATCTAATCGTTCAACTTCCCTGTACAGGCAGTAGAAAAAGGAAAAAAGGAAAAAAGTAGAAAAAGGAAAGAATAGCATTTCCCAAGGGATATTCGTGCCAGGCCACCCTAAAGGGAGAGAGGTGAGTTCTCCTCTGCAGTCGACCACCTCTCTCCAGCAACCCCAATCCTATTCTTCCTCCAGCTAAAGTCAGGCGAGATAAAACACAGCCTGAACCTGTTTTTCGGCATCTAAAGTGACCTCCTCAAGGTTTACACTGACTCGTGAAAGACTTGCACAACAGCACCCCAATACATGTTGCTCAATAAGCGATTGCGCTCGACTCCAAGACAAAGTGAAGGGGGAAAAAAGTACTGAGACCCGGAGGTCAAATAATACTCAGTAGATGAGGCACCAAGTCTGTGGAATAACTAGGAAATCGTCCCTGGCCACTGATACCCGTGTTACTCACACCCAGACAATTTATTGCTGTGCAATAGACTGGACCACTTTTAAGAGCAGAAGTTTTCAACCGCATCTCCGCTTGCTAGTCTTCAAGGATTTTCACTGCTTAGCATGATCTGGGAGTAGATTTGGGACCCTGCAGTCAGCAATTTTCACCACTCTCTTCAGCTCCACGTTTGCTGTGGGCCTCGCTGTACCGCAGGTTATTCCCTGAAGCCGCGCAACACCAGAATTATATTAACTTCAGGCAGAGCTGCAGGAATTTTGTCATGAGAGGAAGGTGGGGGGAAAAAACAACAGAAAAAACCCCACACTTAGCACTCTTATAAAGACACCGCACCTACCTATAGCCATGTCACAGCAGTCCGTGGAGAGCAACGAGCGTTTCCAGAGGGCAAATCAGCTCACCCAGAGTCACGCCTCCCTCTCCGCTCGCCTTGACTGCACCCGCAGCCTCAGCGAAGGGACGCTTGCAAGGACAGGAATAACTAAGCACAGCAGCAAGACATTTCTAAGACACAGATGAAAACCTGGTTTCTTATAGCAGCTGGAAGCATCTAGAGAGGTGCGCGGCTGTCGGCATGAAACAGCTCGTCAGCTAGCAGCGGATCCTGGGTTGTCTAAGATGCCTAACAAATAAACACCGTCGAGGCTGAACTAGGAGTTTTAACAAAAATATTTCATTTTGCTTTTCTAAAAAAAAGAAACTACCTATAGATTTCCATTTCAGACAGTAACAGGAAGCCCAGAACTTTCCAATGACAAGGTGGTTTTATTTCCATAATTGCCTCCAAGCAATAATAAGCCCTAAGCCACGCAACACCCAATCAATCAATCAGTCACGACAAACAGGGGAAAATGTCTATGGTGTTTATCCGGAGGACGGTCTGCGGGTTCGTGATGACTGAAAAAGAATGAAAAGAGGAAAAAAAAGAAAAACAAAAATCAGATCACAGCACACAACTGTTGTGTGCCTTTCGAGAGGCTCCCGCTGGCAAAGCTGCATTAGTCTGAGGCATGCCAAGGCGTGACAGTTTCTATGAGGGGGAGTGCTGACAGATGCTACCACGTTGGCAGGACAGCCACATACCATTGGTATGGCATGAGGTCCAGGCAGAGCTCCCACGGGAGCGTGGCAGATCGGTCAAGGTTTTAACGTCCGTCCCGCAAAAACCGATCATAACCTTCCTCCCTCTCGGTCATATCTGAGAAGGAGCAGTGATTTGGTAATCAACAAGTCTGCTACAGGGTACTCTTAAGGCTTGTTCATATCTGCGACTACGTATCTATTATTTGAGGCTTTGGAAGAACAATACTGCTGCTCTGCCCTGTAAAACTCTCCCCCCCACCCTCCCCAAAAAAGGTTTTTTGTGAAGATAGCCAAACCAAGGGTGCTGGACACAGGGAATAAAGTCACTGTGCTCCAAATAGCTCGGGCCACGCCTGGGGCAGTGGGCTGGGAAAGAGGTGTTGTAGCAGGCGGGGTCCCGGGGGCAGGGCAAATCAATGTCCCTCCCCAAACGCTGCCGTTGTGTCACAACATGTCCATCTCCCAGACCCAGCAGAGGAACAGGAGGAAGGGAAGCTCTGTATTCTTTTCCGCTTACTTTTTTTCCTTTGATAATTGTGTCTCTTCCAAAAGCGCATGTTAATTTTTGGCCACGACTCCGTCTTTTCAATCACGGTAGCCTCCACGCGGACAAGATCTTTCCTGAAAGAGAAATAAAAAGTACCACCTCGTAATTCTTTATGTCCTCCTGTTTCTGGGGAAGAACCACACACAAGTAACGTGTCCTGCCTTACAAAGCCCAGGGCTGCAGGAACTACTAAGTCATTGGGGAGAAGAGGGAAACCTGCCTGGTTGTTGGCTTCCCAGCGCAAAAACAAAAGCCTCAAGGCGCTACATGTGGATCAGCCAAGTGCAGGGCAGTACTCCGTCATACCAGGGATAAGATCAGAGACAGTCGAGGATGCAGAAGTAGCGGGAACCTGCAGGAACTGGTAGGATTGCAGTAAGATAAATTCCCCTGGCATGTTTACACGGTTCTGTACTTTCTGCTTTGCTTATGGTAAAGTTAAACCAACCACGGGCCTTTTTCCTGCGCTCTACTGGTCAACGCAGAAGTCCTTCCTCCTTTTATAAAGCATCGCGGTCCGCTGGAACAAGCTCTCACCTTACTCACCTAAATAGCCTTGGCAAAGGCTGTCTAGAGAGCAGCTCTGGCCCACTGTTTTTAGCAGAACGCACAGCTGCTGGGCTGCTGAAGCAAGTCACTTCTCCTCCCACACACCTCCTCCTCTGCCTCCCACTCTTGGTCTGTCCTGGTTGTTTACTCCGAATTGGAAGAGAAGATGGGGCCTGGCTGAGGATTTCACATACTGCTCTGTTCCAAGGGACCTCCCGGCAGCCAGGAGAGCTCAGGGACGAGGGCGAGACTACTCAAAGACTCAGGTTGCTTCTGGACCCTATTTCTACACATGGGAGCTCCCAGCAAGTACAAATTCCCCCTCTCCATCTCCTTCCACAGAGATAGGGTTGAAAAGAAGAACGCCGCCAGTGTTTCCATCACGCGTGACTAAAATCACAATTCTGCCCTCCCCATTCCCTTACCGACCCAGGCAAACGCGCCTCGTGCCCACGCAGGTATTCTACAGCGCACGGGGAGGAGTCGTCCTACCGAAGTTAGGAAAAGAGCTCTGCCTTTTTTACGGGCCGCCTGAAAAACGCCAAAGCCAGAGAACGAGTTGATTTGAAGCCTGCACTGAAGGACGAGCTACCTCGCTGCACAACAGCTCCGCGTGCAGAAACCCATCACCTCCAGACAAGAGCCAGACTAAAGCTTTGGAAAGCGTCGTTTTAATCAACAGCCACAGTAGAGGAGGAAGAGACGCTCTTTCACGTTGCGTCACTGCAGAACACCATTAAAAGCTCATTAGCATGCTCACCTCTGCCGAAAGACATTTAAAGAACGTTTTCCTGACAAACGACTCTGTCCGCACTTAAAGGGGGTGAGGAGAAAGCCCAACTAGCCCAACTGCTCACCGAGGCCACTAAGAGGCCAAAGGCTTTGACACGTTTGCCCTCTCTATTAACATTTACCCTCTGGCGTGTAATGCATCATCAGAGATTGAATCCTTAAGGGAGGAGGGAAGGACAGCCAAAGAGAACCGATACATCTGCATTTAGTGACTAGTCCGAAAGAGAACAGCCATAACGTAATCTAGATGTTAGAGACCACTGGGTGACCTTGACGTCCCAGCTAAGGGATTGCTGTCCGGATTCGGCCCAATGATAGGACCAACAGCACTACTGAAATACATGGCATCGCAAAGCTACGAAAGAAACCAGAAAACGAACTGCGCTTCAGGGGTTAGCTGGGTTTTACCACCATGATTAGGGAGCTATAGCCTTTCTGGGTCTAATGCCTGTCCTCTGGAGGCAAAGGGAAGGCTAAACGCCCACTGACTTCTCTCAGGCGTGGATTGTAAAAGCGTGCAAGAAACTCGCTCATTATGATCACGTGGGAAAGCTAGAAAGCAGCCAGGCCAGATAAAGTGACCACATCACAGAAAGCTCTGCGCTGCTTTTAGGGGAGCCAGCGCTTGTAGCAGCACAGCCAAACTCTCCCTGCTACAGCCCTCACTGCCGGGCCACGCCAGCCTTCAGAGGCCTTGGGTAGCATTCAGCCAAAGAGAGAAACATTGACATAGATTTGGTGATAAGTGACCTCCCTCCGTGTTGTTCAGAGATGTTGACAGGCTTACGAGCAAACCTTTCGACACGCTTGCAACAAATCTTTTGAAAGGTGTTTTTTCGACATAGTTGAGTATCAAGGTAGCGGCTTCACTCTGCAAGACAAAGATCACGGCTAGAAGCCCTAGCACAAGGCTGAAAGCACCTCTATTAGATTTTTGCAGGAAGCAAAAAGAATTCATCCTGAAACCTCATAGATCTACATTGGGGTAAAAGTTGTTGTTAAACAGTGAAAGCAATCCTTCAACCCCAAAGGATCAACGCTCTGAGAGGTAACAACTTTGCCATCACTAACTAGCTCTCTGTTCCCCTGCAGAAGGCACCTGCACCTCAGCCTTTCTTTCTGGGAGGAGAACAGGTCTACGGCACTTGGTTGTGTACTTTCCAAATCTGAAGCAAGAATGGGCAGGTAGCCATGAGAAAGGCTTGGGTCGCACCTCTGGGTCGTTTAGAGGAAAAAATTCCCATCGGTTGCACTTTGCACAGAAATAAGCAAAACTTTTTTTTTGTCTCAGAGAGGAACCATTCCCCTCACTCAGGTCTAGAACACTGGAGGGGACTAACGATGGCCCGAGCCTACGCTTGCTTCTAATGACAGCTTTAGAAGTGCACAGCAATTTCTGCATTATACAGCCAAGCACAGCCTAACTGCGCACCACTTGCTACCCTAGCGCCAACTGACCATCAGACAGCAAGTTGCTTGAACAAAAACAAAACCCAACATATCCCAGAGCAGAAGTCAGCTAGAAGTTCCCAGAATTGCCTTTGCCCCGCAGATATGTTTTGTTGCGCTGCTGTTTTTTAAAGCTTTAAAGGGGCATCATCTTGGGAGGTATCTGACTGCTCGAGAAAATTAAAACATGACTGTCTGTCCAAAACAGGACAAGTTCCTACCTGCTTCCAAGTTTGCACGAGGTTTGCAGCTGTAACGAACTGGCCTAGGCAGACACCGGTTTGTGCGGGCATTCACTGACGCGTTTATTTTTGAAACGGCAGAAAAAACAGAAAAGCCTTTGTTCGCCTCCGAGCTCTTATCTCTCCTCCAAAACATTTGTGGTTTAGGCGCAACTGGGAACTATGTGAACCAATTACAGCGCACATTGCCTCTGAAACCCCGGGTTCTGCTCTCCTTCCTCGGCTTGCCGAGGAGAGCCGAGGAACTTGGGCACGTGGGAGGGTTCCCTACAGCTCTCAGAGGGAAGACGGTACCTCCCTACCACCTTTTCTCTCCCCCGGTCAGCCTCCGCCTCCTACTGATCCTCCTCTGCCAAAGTTACTGCAGTTCAAGCTAATGCTGGCAAACGCGCAGCTTGGTCTGCCTCAAAAAACTGGCAAGGCTTTCCGTGCACTTAGAGTGCTTGCAGGGATCAAGCAGCAATTTTTCTTCCCGTCCCAGAGCTGCTGGGTCACTGGGCAAATGCCAAATCCAGCACACAAACAGAGAGTTGCAAAGAACCATTTCAGAGCCACTAGTTAACAGTGCCTGGCCAAGGACGGTGCTCCCAAACTGCCTGACACGACACATCCCCGTCTGCAGAACCTGGGCTTTTCCTTGAGCTATTGCGAGATTATGTTTCTAGTCCTAATAATGATTCTCCCCTTCCCAACCCTCTTCCACAAATGGAAAATCTGGCAATAGCGCGCAGGCTCCTGAGGATCTGCTATTCCAGATGTACTGACAGCACTGTTAGAAAAGCTGGCAGATCCCAAAATCCTGTGTAACACAGCGATCCCAAGGCCGTTAGCACCCGCGCAGCTGAAGCCTTATTATCATCCATCCAAACGTTTTACAAGTAACTCTTAACTCCAGACAACCTGCTGCTAACAAAGCAACCAGCCAGAAGTTGAAAAGACACGGTATTTCTAACATGAATCTATAAACCACCAGAAAACACTTCTGAGATGCACAAACTCCTCTTTACCTAACCGCCCTCTACCTAAGTTGCTGCAGTTCAAGCTGACACTGCTAAAGGTGAGGTTTAGCCTGCAACCAGGCAATAGCCAGGGCTTCCAGACACTCAGCTCTCTCGCAACCCACCTTACCTGGACTTGTATTTTACCACTTAAACCTACTGTTCCAGGGAAACCCACAGTTCATGACTTCGTTCGGGCTAGCGCAAAGAGTTAAACACTAACACCTAGTCCACATACCACTTCTTTTGGGAAAGGTTGAAGAACCAGGCATATTGCTTGCTGGTCTTAGAGCAAGTCCTACAGCATTAGAATTGAGCTGCTGCCAATGGGGTAAACTCCCGTTCCCCAATTCTGTGATCGCTGGAGTCACGCAACTGCGAGAAAGGGAGAATTACAAACTCTAAGTAAGGATTAAAGCTTGTGGGGTTAGGACAAGGGCAAAAGGAAATGGGTTAAAAAAAAAAAAAAACAAAGACAAAACCAAAAACAAAAAAACAACAACAAAATCCAACTCAAACTCAGAGATGGGCAAATCTTTCTGTGTTATTCTAAGATGACTATCACTGCAATTACGGTTAGGGAGCAAAGATGCCGAAGAGCAAGATTTACTGCTAATTTGTGCAAAGGTTACGCAATAAGAAAAAGAACCATCTCCAAAAAAGTGAATTTCCTACAGTTACCTTAGGAACACCCGTATTGCTGCTCTATCCTAACACCGTGGTAACGGCTAGAGTTAGAAGAGGCTGATGATTTATTGGCGATTCTTTCAAAAGCCACAGACCTGGGAAAAAGGTTAGCGCTAATAAATTCACAAGGTTTCTCTTCGATTGGGAGACTGCAGGAGCCCTGGGCTACAATTAAGCGTAAGATTTGTCTTCAGTATAATTCTTGTACAAGACATCTTACCCTAGGAGCGGCCTTCCAATCAGCGTGAAGTCATCAGCACCAACCAGCAAAACCTACGGAAAGCAACTCAATCAGACACATCACTGGTTCATCGTCCCAGCAGAAATGCAAACGCTATTGTCCAAATTCTACAGTCACCATAAAGGAGCTACGCTGCTTGAAAACAGGCCTTTACATACGTCAAACGGCAAACTGTTCCTGGATAGGGATGGTGGGGAAAGGCAGCTAACAGCCAAGAAACAGACTCATTAAATAGACGCTCCCCCAGGAGAATTTATCCTACTAAAGCATACTTTAGAAATATCTTTCACAGCGATCAGAACACACTGAACGTTTCTGTTCTGGGTCACCAAAAGTTGTAAAGACATGAAAAGCAACGCAAAGGAGAAGAAAAAATACGCCTTGCATGGGATCCAAATGAACGGCAGCTCTTAAAATCACTGCATTTTTATAGCGTTTGCTACATACCCTCTAGCGAAACACTTTGCTCTTTCTTCTCCATGAGGCCCCAAGATGGGTAATAAAGAAACGGATGTCTGGGGTGGATTCGCGGCAGGGACTAGCTCATTCATTGAGGACATTTCAACCACCTGCCTACGTAAAGGATCAGGCAAGATAACAGAAAGGGTATCATCAGAAGCGGCAGCATTTCTTACAGTCTGCCTCCTTCCCACACTAATTGTACGGCAGCAGTTAAAAGCAATACACACGGCCACTAGATGTTCTGACTTTTGCTTTAGACAGATACTTGCCAGTGAAATCTGGCAGAATTCTGCTGACAGATTCAACAGAATTCTGCTGACAGATAGGCAAGTTTTTAAAGCCTTCTTTACCCTCAGCTAGGTCTTTGCGCTCCTAGCCGGCTGCGCCACGTGAACCACTCCCGTTGTACCCAAGGATGCAGGACACAGCTGAAAAGCTGCCTTAAAACTGGACTTTAAAGCAACGGACGGGTAAAAAAGCTGCCTGTCTTTCCTTAACTGCTCTGCTCGGCTCTAACAACCAAAGATTAAGCCAGCAGAACCCCACTTCGGAGTCTTCCATTTTAGATTTGGAATAACGACTCTCTACAAGTCCACACGAGTTAACCAAGGCCAAGGATACAGATACTGAATTGCATTCCGGCAATTACCCCCTAAACGCACCGTCCCTCTCCCTCCACCCGAAACGCTCTGCGTGATAAGGATCTTGCAAAGCACCGAGTGGTGACGGTCCCCCTGGGAGTACTGAGAGTGTTTGGGTGTGCAGTCTCAAGGTAAACACCATCTAAGGGTGCAGTCTCTAAAAACAACAACTGTGGTTTTTTCCCTCTTGGATGAAGTCAGTACAACAGTAATCGAGTCTGCCACAACTCATTCCAACCCTGTTCTGTGGAAATCACAATAATATTATCACTAATACGGTAACCGAAACTGGAACAAAGCTGAGGCCAAGCAAATCGCTGGAGTAAGAATGGGAGAGCCAAAAGAAGCTCTTCAGGACTTTTCAAAAACTGATCGCCACTTTTGCCTCAAGAAACGCTTGCAGACAACTTGTTCTTGCCCCACATGCAGCACGCAGGCTGCGGACCCAAGGCACATTACCTTTTCCATCCGGATGCGGTCCCCGCATTCAGCCTCCAGCACGTTGTCCATCATGATCAAGTCCTCGCTGGTTACCTTCCACTGCTTGCTGGCAAAGTGGACCACAGCAAAGAGCCGCCCATACTGCCCAGTTGCGATCATCTTGTTCACCTTTTGGACCACCTCTGCTGGCCAACAGCAAGGAAGGAATCAGCGAGGGGGAAAAAAGAAACAGCAAGGTGTAAAAAGCTGTTCAAGACACAAAAACTGGTATCTTCTTGGAATCCTTGAGCAAAGCTCAATGACTATGTTGTTTCCTGCACACGGAGCAAGCCTCCTTTCCTGTAAACCTATGACCTATTTGGATATTAGTGGCTGACAAAGCCCTACCTAAGCACACACCTCACGTAGATGCTGCGCTCCCCAACCTATTTCTCGGGCATCCTGAAATGCCCTATACTGCAAATATAAAGCGTGCCAGAAGAGAGTGCCTGTTCATGCATCAGGAAGGGAGTTCTCCTTAATTTCCCAGCAATACGCAGAAGAGACAGCCCTCGGGATACTCTGTAAGGTATCCAGGAACATCAGGAAGAGTTCTGCAAAGTACACAGGAATAAGGGCTCCGGCATATTAACAAAGCCTGGCCTGAGAACTTGTACCTGTAGCATAGTCAAGGGAGATCTTTCCTTTCCTCCTTTCCAGAAGGGCTCTTCCTGTACGTGCATACACACAGAGCTGGTGCCAGAGGCAGTACCAATCCCAAGGACGAAGCACTGCACACGCATAAAACTCAGTTTTCAGTGGTCACTTTTCCGTACAGTCAGGCCAAAACCAGTCTTTACAGAACACAGAAAGGTTTGGCTTAATTAGTGCTATTCCCCCGCCAAATTGCAGCTTTCCACCCACTCGAGTTGTTCAGAAAAAGAGTAACTTTTCTATAACCGGAAAAGTAGATTTTCTTCATTGTCCTCAAAAGAGGCTGAATCACTTTTTCTTGGAATGTAAACAAAACATAATATCCATTTGGGACAGACAAGAATTCAGCAACCGGTTAAATCAAACCCAGCCCTCACAGGAACATCCTAGACGCGTCCAACTTCCAACCCAACAGACGCAAACTATTAAAGGTTAAGAACAACTGAAAACCAGAGGTTAGAACGGAAACTATTTTGCGACCTGGTAGTTGCTCCAGTTCCCACCCCAATGAAAAGCAGAGCTTCTGTGTTGTTAGAATTGCTATTGAGGAAGAAAAGATAACTGGGTGCTCTTCTCTGACACAGAGTGGCCCACCACAAAGAGTCCAGAGGAAAACCACGATCCCCTTCTCTTCGTTATGCCCTCAACTGCACAACAGGATGCAACAGAAGAAATTCTTCTAGCTCTAAACCGCTGGTCCGCTTACATCAGTAGCCCGGTGGTAAACATTTCAAAAGAGCAGGCCAATCGGCACTCAGAGGGCAGAACGCTCACAGCTCCCACCAAAGTCAACGGGATTTGCAGATGTCTCAGAACTGAAATTCAAGCTCCTTAGCGACCATTCATACAGCCACACAATGAAAATGCTGGCCTACAATTTTCTCTTAGCCAGAAACACGCAGAGGCATGCTTTCACAAGGGTTATTTCCTTGTCAAGTTTCAATTTTCCACCCGTAAGGCTTTTTGATCCTTCTATAACAGAACAAGGTTTATTTGCTTCTCGGTACCTAGGATCTGAAATTGTTGACAACTCTTCCAAATAGCTCTACCGACAGGACACATCAACTGGTATTACCATACGATTGTTAGTATGGCTCGTACCTCAGCACCACGCGGAGCAAACCTACCAAAAATATTTACGGCTCTTTCTACAGCCAGCAGGAGAATATAAGGCAGAATTCAAAACGCTCTGGATGCTGTGAGTTTAAGACAGCTGTAAAACCACTGAGTTTGTTTTGGATAAGCACAGTCAGGACATAATGACGCAAGCTCATAAACAGTAGGGGGTTACAAGGCATGGAAATCGCAACGGCCCAAAGATTCTGCGTCATTCAGTCAGAGGAACGCAGGATCCTGTTCACCGGAGGGCTCAGCAAACCAAATCGAGCACTTTATGGTTCACTGGGTCAAACGACGCCCTGGGACAGGACACCCGTTCATCACTTGAGCAACCCCAAAAGCAGAGAGGGGACAAAAAGCAGGATGAAAACCAGCCAGACAGGAGACTCGGAACACGAGATGCTCTACAGCTCTGGCACATCACTCGCACAGTTACTAACACACTTGAGCTACACGACAGGAGACTATGCGCAAAGAGGTGGACACAGCTCAGCTCTTCTCCTCTCACTGTTCCTCGCATGAAAACTTCTCTCCTTCACTTCCCGGGGCTCTTCAATCTAAGGCAGAGAAGCTTTTCCGAGATGTCCCAGAGGCTAGTGCAAAGAGACAGTGAGACAGCCTGTTAACGAACGCAGGAGCTAGCTCCCTGCGCGAAGCAGACAGAACTGCTAATTGCTATCCCCACAGCAACCGTAGAAGAAAGTCACCCACTGGGGCTCATTACTGCCTGCTTCTGAGAAACACCCTGCGCCTGCGTCAGCTTCCCCACTACCATCCCTAGCATGGTCTGGGTGACAACAGCCCCGCCTGGGCGACGTGAGACTAGACACCTGCACCTTCTCTGTATTCGATTTTCACAACCCCATCTGCCAGGGGAGACTGTCTGAGAGCAAACGGAAGACTGACATATTTTGACCAGGCCAAGCAACGCGAACGGTTGCTAAACAGCCACACGCGCTTCACTTGCTGACGACTGTACGGTCCACGAGCTTCTCAGGTTGTGTTCAACCGTCCTGCTGATTAGGGGTGGGGACAAGAATACGTTCGCTAGTGCTGCGTCACGCTTCCCACCTGCCTGCTGCCGTATGTCACGGCTCTGCAGCTCTGTGACGTGCCCATCATTCAACTGCCTCAGCTGGGTGTAGCGTTTCGGCGTACACATAAAAACAATATTGCTTCCTCCTAGCCAAAAGGCACGTTTCATTGCTGAGGTAGCAACGTATCACGTCAGGTAAGATTCCCCTGGGAGTGTTACAACCTGGCAGGCTGTCACAAAGCACAGAGACCTCGCGTTCTACCCACATCTCCAATACCAGCAGCTGGAGCGTGAATGCAGTGACACTAAAACAGGCCAGAAACGAGACAAAAACGCAAAGAACAAACGCTAGCTCCGCTCATTGAGGACACTGATTTACGCTCAGTCAGGCCACCAAGGACATTACCGGACTATTAGCCTTCACTTGGGAGACTTGAGACCTTACCTGCATGATACTTTGCTTCTTCCACTGGATCTGGCAGTTTCACTTCAGGCCACGGCGGCGAAGAGAGAGATGTTTTGGCCACGAGTCTGTAAACGATGAGGTAAGACTCACTTGTAACAAACAGATACCGTGAAGAGATGCAAAACACAGAGAAGGTGGCAGAAGTTGGAGACAAAGTAGAAAGCCTGACTGCTTTTCCACTAGGGGAGCAGAAGTTGTACAGGAGACTGAATGGTTTGGCAGCATGAAAGATTCAACCTCAAAGCCAGTCAGGTCAGAAGGCAATTTCCCACAGGCCACGTTTGACTTTGCAGCAGCTCACGAGCGAGGTGACGTTTTAGAGACCAGTCTTAAGTACAGTGGGGACAGAGGGTGGCAGGCAAAGCAAAAGCAACGATACCGCCCTAGGACTGACTCCAGGGGAGGATGCCGGATACAGCAAAGCCCCCAAAGCTTCCTCCCAAACCCCGGCAAAAACACTCCAACGAAGCTGCAGCCCATTTCAAAAGGCCGTTTGAGCACACGCGGAAAATGCTCCTTCTCATTTCCGAGCTAAATCTGCAAACGCTCTACCAAAACAAGCACCGTCGCCGCTCCCAAAGCTTAACGTCACTTAGGGCCTCCAAGAATCGCAGCAAGCTTTGACAAAAAGCTTGAGTTTTAGACAAGAGGCTCTTGTTAAACTTTTCCAGGTACGCATACGCGCTACCTCCACCACAGCCGAACACACGAACGTGCCGCAAACCGCATCAGCCCAGAGCACAAAGCCCTGGAGTTATCAAAGAGAGGGGAGCATCTGGGAGGAGACACTGCCTTCGATGGGAAAGAAACGCTAATAAGTATTCTCGTATCGACCTCAAGGGCTACGCATGAACGAGTCGCACGCATCCCTTTTTCCCCCCCTTTGTTTTTAAAGGCCTTCACTGTTAAATAGGTAGTTTAGAGAGGGTCTTGAGGCCACAGCTGCGGTCTTTACAGGAGACTACGAAGCCGCTCGTCCTTTGTTACTGACAGCCGCGTTCCCTGAATGGCAATACTAACAGCATCTGTCACCCCCAGCGCAATTCAGCGTTTAACACGAGGAACGTTCATCCCAAAAGCCTCTTCTGTGCCGTCACCATGCCCGTCTCCAGACCGCCACGCTGGCGAGGGACTGGAAAAGGGGCTCCAGCAAGGCTTGCGTGACCCACACCTACCTCGGCTCCGGCGGACCGCAGAAGGCAGCGGGAGCTGCCACCGCCTCGCGTGCCGCCAACCAGGCCAGCACGAAGCCCCTCGTAACGACCGACCTCGCTACTGAAATAACCACCGGCCCGTTTTATCCAAAAGTGCGCGGTTTTGGGGGGGG